ATTGGACTACCTTACCCTCAAAAGCCATTCAGAAGTAGGGAATTCTGGGTAATAAGAATACAATGGATAATGGAAAAGGAGAGAACAACACAATGTGATGTGCTTTCGCATTAACAAATCACACTCGGTTTTTACGTGACCACTACAATACACGTTGCTTTACGGCCCCACAACACTGGGCGGGACATTCGCCCAATTCTGGATGGCGGCGCCCGCGCCGCGCGGCGAAAATCGTAGTGATTCAAGGGACTCTGGCGCCTACCATTGGGGCACAGGTTCTGAGTAGATTAGATAAGTAAGGTCAGCTGATACTACTGATCTACTCTTCTTCAAATTGTGAACCCATGATAAGCGCTGAAGTGGTTTAGGTCGCCCCGAATTTCGCCGCACAATTTGCTGCGCGTATCTCCGGACGCACGAATGTTCCATCCCCCTCCATGACATGAAGGAGACGGCCAAACAATTTAGCGGAATATTTAGCCGTCGCTTGGCCTAGGTTGTTATGCTCTGTCGTACAGGCAGCTTTGCAGGCGCCGATATCTTTAAATAGCTGAGGTGGCCAGAAAATCCAGTCCTATCGAAAATGCTTTTCATTTTCATTCTGCTGCCTTACTTTCTGGCGAATGCCGAGATGGACAGTGAGTTCCTTTTCATTAATGACGAGGTACTCAAATCTCACTCTGTATCTTGCATCCACATTAATCAAGACAACCTCCGAACTCTCAAAAACATTCAGGAAGCGCGAAAGTAGCTTTCAAACAGCTCAACCGACAACACAGTCCAAATATAGTGAGTTTTCTTGATGGGTTTGGCTGAGAAGAATCAATGTAGCAATGTTTGTTCACAGAAGTGGATTGATGAGCTGGAGCAACGAACACTGAAATATTTGGACCTGAACGATAAAGATCCGGACAATAAAGAAGTTTTGCCATAATTCCTATCTTTTTCCACGTACATAATATCATGAATTCAGGACTTATCCGAAGAATAATACTCTTGAACTAGGGATAAAGCTCTTCAAATCCTTCGGAAGAGACATTCGAAAGAGAAAAGAAGAGGTCAGTCCAAGAATATTAGTCCGTGGTCGTAGTTGGGTAATAAGGTATTAGGAATAGTGAAAACCCCTTTTGGTGCCCTAAAGCATTCTGACAATTGATATGCATATGAAATACCGATCCCTTGCAATACCGGGTACCCACGCCTCAGTTTCGCCTACCATCGTGGTCACATGAAAATTGGGTGTACCGTGTAGGCGTTTCGTTCCGCGCGTCCGTCGAAATTACGTCACGCCGCAGCCGTCGCATGCGGCGTGTCAGCCCACGATCTTTGACAAACGTCGCAGTTGTCAGCGGGGCACACGGTTTGCGCTCGGTCCACGGGGGGGGGGGGACGGAACTTACGTGCGTCCGAGGATGCGCGCGGTAAACTGCGCGGCGAAGTGCGCGGTGGTTCGAACAACTCTACCGCCTATCAAATAGGCCCAATTCTGAAATAGAGTAGATCAGTAGTATCTGCTAACCCTACTAATCCACAGTACTACAAATTTGTTCCCCAATGATAGGCTCCAGAGTCGCTGAATTACCACGTACTTCGCCGCGCAATTTGCCGCGCGCATCCTCGGACGCACGTATGTACCCATACCCGGTCCACGGCAGTCAGCTTAAAGTGATGATAACACGGACTAGTGCAAATCATTCGATCAGCTGATACTTAGTGGTACTGTAATGTCATCTCAAGATCACAGTTGGCTGCGTCGCGCCCAGTGGACGGGTTGACCTAGTTTTGAGGACGCGCGGAACGGACCTTCCTCATCGTGTAGACGTTTTCCCCATGACCGTTCATGTAACCCCCTTGCTTTATTTCTCCTAATCCACTATCATTGCGTTCACGTATTTCACTGCACACGCTGCATTTCCTGCATTCCCGAGGAGTTTGGAGACGATAACAAAATCGCAAATATGAAGTAGTTGGATGACGAACTTCTCTTTTAGGGAATAATCTTCGCAATGCAAACATGACTTTTTACACAGAAAGGTGATAATTTGACTTTCTGAAGGTCGCCGCTCTCAAAGATGGTTCGCATACGGATGCAACCTCGATACCCAAAAGGATTTAGAGGAGCAACTGATTTTGAGATATGCTTGCATCTACATCAAAAACTGAATAAATCTTATCAAACAGTCACTAGGCTTTTCAATAAATCGATCGATTGAGTACAACAAAGACTTCGTAAATAAGAGAAGTTGTATTGTCCTTCACTATCCTACTTTATATAATTCGCTAAGTGTGTCTGTTGGTGTGTCGGTGTGTTTGTGTGTTTGTGTGTGTGTGTGTGTGTGTGTGTGTGTGTGTGTGTGTG